AGGGACAAAGCGGGCAGATAAAAGGAAAAACAGGGATGGAAAAACCACGTCTGCACAACAAATTAAGAAGTCTGAAAGTAAGCAAGAGAGAAAAGCACTGCTTTTACACTGTGATATAAAATTTTAGGTGAGAATTTTGACCAGTCTGATTTACCCTTCCTAACCCCTGCAAAAAAAACCAAATAATTGCTGAAAATGTTACAGAGTTCCATGTTTCAGTGTTGGATGGCTTTTTTGATGCTTGAAATTTTTATGCATTTCCAGCTGGAATGTTTTTTCACCTATAATTTTGTAAAATATTCTAAAAACATGCCCAGCACATTCTTTAATGCCAATGTCTAGAATTAAGTTTGCTCCAGGTAAATAAGACTAATTGCCTTATTTTGCTTTCATAAACAGTGATCAAGAAGCAATAAGGTCATTCAGACTTTTAAAAAATAATTATCTTAAATCTTGGCATGCAGAAGAAACAGAATTGCCGTCTATATCTTAGAAGACATTCAGACCACTTTCTCAAATCTGTTTTGCAAAACTCATAACCTAAAGTTTGCCTAGTGTTAACATCATAACTTTAAAGAGAAAGGAGAAATCTGCAAAGCAGAGATGAAACATCTAGTTAGTATTTCTTCTACTTTCAGGAACCACAGTAGGCCAATTACAGTAATTCCTCAAATAAATGTCGAAAGAAAGAAACTCCAAAACCTGTAACTTCTCTACTCTCCCTAAGCAAATATGAAGACAAGATAGCCAGGCAAGCATGAGCTACAATACTAGTATATGCTATCTCAAATTCTTACATGTGCATAAATTTTCTGAACCTGAACTTGCATGGGCCTGCATGAACACTTATGCTGAAGATTACTGAAGTCAGAAGAACTCATCAGTTGAAACTGTAGCAATTAAAATCTAGGAATCATCTTGCCAAGAATGCCTAGGGAATTTCCACAAGTAGACCTTAAAAACACAGAAAAGAAGGCATTATCCCTTACAAATGAAGACAGGAGGCTGCTTTTCTTCTCAAAATTAAAGCCACTGAATCTAGTATTCCTTAAAAGATACTTCAGTTCTGCAAAACAGAATGACACAAGTGCAGCTTAGTTCTTGAGCCTACTGAACTTGAATATTCCTCTTCTAAAATCTTTTGTGAGAGGCTAAAGAAAACTGAGTACATGTTTATCTGTATACCATATTTGGATCTTCCACTCAAAAACACACAGGTATGCATAGGAATACTTCAATACAAGCACTTTAGACACATTTACCTATGGGGGGGGGGAAGCTGAAGGCTAGATTCATACAAGTATTTCAGTGCTTAGATGCTCGAGACACTATTCTGCAATCACCTACCCCTAACAGCTGCCAATTTTCCACAAATCCCTTAGTTTTCCAAATAAAACCTATAAAACAAGTCATTTGTAAAGGAAGTGTGATTCTGTCATTCTGTGAAGTATGCCTTGCGGCTGATACACCTGCCTCAGTGGGACTCTCAAACCAAGCATGTCCAGATGGAAACATGGGGTTTCCAACTTGGCGTGCTCCTCACTGTAGGGCCCAATCCAACGAATCTTCAGACCTGGACTGGACTGCACACAGAACCGGGTGAGGTCTCTCACACTGGTAAGTTCATCCTCAACTGGCATGTGGCACAGAAGAGTTAAAATCCTTCCTTGTCTTTCCTGATGCAGGAACTTCAACTCTTCTTCCCCTCACAGAAAATTCCTTAAACACTGGGTGCTCAAGATGAAGGAGGCAGAGGGAAAGGTATAATTTAAAATCTCCTATTGAAGCTATTGCCATTTGATAAAATACTGACAATATTAATAAGATAAACAATTTGAAAATATTCCCACAGTCCACGTTTTACACAAGCAGTCAACATGACAATACCTTTCTGCACCCTTCAGATTACGTATGATATCCTCAGCATAGGAGGCAGAAAGACGTGGACTCCAGAGCAATTAAAAGCACATCCTGCTGATATGCAGATGAAGCAACAGCAGGGCTTACATGGCTTTGGTTCATAATTCTAGAAGAAAAAACAAAGCCCAAACAAAGGGAAATTTTTTGTCTCTGACTTACAGACTCTCTGCACTTCTTTCTGCAGAAGTTGCAGAAATTTTTAAAAAACCCCAGAGGTGCAGGCTTCTCAGTCCATACCACAGAACACACATCCAAGTCACATTCAGCAGATGTTCAACTATCTGTAGTAGAGCAAACCCATAACAGGATAATGCAGTTGAATATTCTACCCACAGACACAGGCATGTTTTGTGCACAGCTGCCTTTACTTTTCACTCCTTCTCAGGTCTAGGGGAACGCAGAAGTGAAGTCTAGAACGGGTCATGGTTTTTATCCCAAGTGGACAATGTATTTGCACTACGTAGAAGACAAAGGAGAAGGACTCCTAACTTCAGAGTTTATCTTCTTAAAGGTATCTCCATGTAAGCAATGCATCAGGCAGGCTGCTGCTTCTACCACTTCTAGGGGCACTTCGGGGTCATTTTACTGCATAAAGGAGTCATACACTAGAAAATAAAACACTTGAAGAAAGACACATCAAGTCTATTTTTCAGATGATCTATTATCACCAACAGATATTTGTTTAGTCAATACAGACAACAATAATTCTCAAAACTGGCAAATATGCCAGATGATAAATTTAAAAGAAAGCTCTTATGTTGTAAGAACACCAAACAGTTCATATTTTCATAGGAAGTTTACAATGTGGAATTGAAAAGTTACTTGTTACAAGTAACTCTTAAGAGCACTAAAACAGAAATATACTGGCTGCAAAAAGCACGTTCCTCTCTGTTTTCCTCCAGTTTGCCTGTTCCGTATCAGGAATGACAACAACAAACCCGTAACTGTGTTCTAACACTGTTCCTGTCATGAACATGGACACTCAAGAGACCAGCCTCCCAAGCCCATGCCTTCTCCTGATGGCAAGCGTGTATCAGACACAACATTGTGTTGAAGACAGCGTTAGCCCAGAGGTGCTGGAGCATTAACACCTGCACACAGACCAGCTGTACATTTCTGCAGCCAGCGCCAGGACAGTGCTCTGGCACAAAACCAACACGACATATGTCATCCTAACGCAGTGCTCCAGTGGAAGCTCATATAGATGAGCTTTCCCTGGTTCAGCATGGTAAACCTAACCAGTAAGCACAAACAGAACTATGAAAGAAACAGGGTTGAGCTACAGGGTTGAGCTAAGCACGTATCTTATTATTCCAAATCCTCTCTTCAAAGTCCTGTCTCCAAAAATACCGCACTGAAGAACTCTATAAGGCCTTAAAGCTTCAGGATATATTATTTAAATAGTATACATAATCTGCTGGTTTTTTCCACCTAATAAGGAAAATTTCCCTTTATTTTTTTCCAGGAGCTTACAGATAATCCTATTATTTGTTGACACCTCACTTTAAAATGCTCTACTCCCAAATGCGAGGCATTACCAAGGCCACCCTTCTCTCCAGATTTAAAATACTTGAAACTTGTTATCAGAATACACTGCCACATCAGCTAGCAAAACAACTGCTCGAAGGTTAGATTGCACACTTCCCTTTTCTCTTCAAAATAATATTAAGATTGCTTAAGTTTCCACTCACATTTTCAATATTAGACAGGAGAATGGAAATCTGATTTAGATGCATACAATTTTTATGAAAAGCATGCTACTTTTTAAAATAACAACTGTGCACTTTGAACCAGCTCTGTTTCTTCAGATTTTCCCAGCAATAGTGCATATCTCCCTGAAGCCTGCCTCTTTGACCTGTTCAGAAAACTCTTACAACTCTTTTATCGTCAAACTCAAGGTACTGTTCCAGATGCAAAAAACCTGGAAATACCACGTAAGGGCAAAAAAGATGGATTCACAGTGACTGACAATTCACGCTCTGCCTCTTGGGATGCAGACCACCACTTACTAATCTCCAAAATAATTTTCAATAAAACTCATGCATTTTCTCAGTTAACTGTTACACACACCCATTTCTGCAGAGCATATGATGTTTTCTTGGCCTCTTTTACAGCTCCAGTCCCCGCATCCCCCTGCTCTTCAAGCTGAAAACTACACATAAGGAATATGACAGCAAAAAGAGGGAATGATGGTCTAGTCTTCTCACAATGGTGAAGAATAAAAGAATATCATTAATTTCACAGCAGGGAAATCATTGACACATACACAGTGCTGCAAACTTCTATTTATCTGAACAAGTGTCACTGGTTACATAGCAGATCATTCTTTCATTTCTGGAGTTTCTTGCTCTCTGATGGATCACAAAGCACCACTCAAACAGCAACCTGAACTTCAGAAGCATGTTTCAGCTAGAAAGACGCTGAAAGGATAACAAGTGAACAACATCTTTTTATGATAATAAGGGCAAAGGATTAACAACTCCAACTAAGAACACTGTGGCAGAACATTACTCTTACAAAGGCACCAAGAGAGTTTAACACACAGCTGAACTGAGACCCCAGCAGCTTTAAACATCTCATCTGACCGTCTGACACTGGAAAATGCACACCCCATCATGCCACGCACCTCAAACAAGGCGGTCAATCAGAGGAGTACCTGTATCTTCAAATTACTTCATATTTATTATGTACTAGATCAGAGTTTTAAGATACTTAATGTACATCACAGAGTAATGCATGTTCTCATACCATCTGATCTCCAGGGTTTGTAAACAAGCCCATTAATCTTTAATGTATCAGCAGTATAGGCAGATGTGGTTTCTTTAAGAGATACAGAGCCAACCGCAGCAACCTCTGACCAGTAAAATTCCAAACTATGTCTAGACCATTGGCACAAAACAAAAATTGTCACTGATGTAGTTTTTTGTATTTTTAGCAACAGTTTACCTGAGTAAACACAGAGAGATTTAACCCAAGGCCAGCAAGCCAGACACAGGGCAAATTTAGCCCCGGTCCCTACATTTGTGTGCATACCCGATACATAAAAATTCATTGCTTCAGAAAACATACAAAAGTGTTACCTTTCTGGACATGGATGATGTCTGGAAAGTTGGCCAAATGCCCTTGATACAGCGCTAACAAATCCATCACAGGATCTAGGTCCTGCCGGGGCTGATCTGCAAAGAGGTCCCCAATGGTGTCATAGGCTTCTGCAGTGAAGGCTATGGCTTGGTTGAGGCCAGCCGAAAAGGCCTGCTGGTCCAGCTCAAACGCCTGGCTGAGGCACTTAAAGGAGTGCCCCACCTTCTGGTATTCTTTCTTGAAACCAGTGACTTGTTTGCGGGCGAACTCGTTGGCTGTGTGATTAAGCTGCAGGGCGCTCTCGTCCATCTTCTTAGTGAAGGCTTTGAAGCCATCCACCTGGCTTTCCACCTCCTGCAAGTCCAGACTGGCGCCAGGGCCCGTGGGGACACTGATGGTCAGGAAGAAGTTGGCACCCACCATCTCATCCTTCTCAGCCTTGCGCTTGCCTTGTTTCCAGGCCTTCTCATCTGTGCTGGGGCAGGTGAGGAAGTGCTGGAAGGCATCGCACTGAGCCAGCACAGGGTGGCTGCACATGTGGTCCATCCACCAGGCCAGGCCTTTGCGCCGCTTGGAGATGAAGTCCTCCTCGAAGCGGCCGGTGGCCTGCTTCTCCGGCAAGTGGGGCACGGAGATGACAGGGAACTTCTCGGCCAGGCGCCCGTAGAGCCAGTCGAAGTGCTTGTATCGGCGGTGCACTTGCTGCCCGGTGTGGCTGGGTACCAGCTTGTAGGCGATGTAGCTCTTCATGCCCTTGAACTTGGTCTGCTTGG